AGATGTAATTGAAGTCATATTGGTCAGTCATCAACAAAAAATACTTCATACTACTTTCGAAAAGAGAAATATATTTATTATAGAACATTAGAAAACACACACATACCTTGAACCACACAATTCAGATGTGACCACTGTTTGTATTTTGATGGATATCATGATTATTAATATGTGTAGCTACATGAAAGGATTTCATATATCTAGTAGATTATATACAGTACTTTGTATTACTCTCTATGTACTATGGTATATAATATTTTTTGTAATACACTTTTGATAATTCTTAAGTCTGAGAAAGCAATATAAAACATTAATTAAATAATGTGTTAAATATAGCCAAAGGGTAAAACTATGCAGGGGAATGTCAGCTGGAGGTACTGAGGAAGGAGGCTTAATCTAGAGCTTGAAGAATGAGTAGACAAAATTGACAAGGTTCTATCAGTAACTCCATGATCAGAATCAGCCTAATACAACTGGAAGACAGTCTAGATTGTAAATGTGTTATTTTTCTCTAATTTTGGTAAACATGTTATTTTTTTTTAAATTAGGTTTTACTGTACAAAACTTTGAGTTTGAAAATGGGTAATGCTTTTAAGAGCTACAGGGAAACTGGAAGCAGGCATTCATTTAAAAAAAAAAAAAACGCTCTCTTAAAGATGTCATTAAAATTTGCATTGTGTTCTAAATAAACCAACAGCTGGATTTGGTGACAGCTGTGATTTATTGGTCCTGCATGGAATGGTGGGTGGGGATTTCAGAAGTTGGTGAGTGATAAAACAATGAAAGCCACCGTCTAAAGATCACCCATACTTCATAAGATCAAATCCAGAAATTATATTTCTTACCCAAAGTGAAAGAAATGAGAAAAAACCTCTTGATTATTCTCAATTTACTGTTATCACGATAAAGGTTAGACAGTCATCACCAACTGCCTTAGCAATATTATATTCTAAACAATATGAACAGATTTACTGCTCTTACTCATGGTATCAATAACCATAATCACTAATATATGAATGAAACAATTAAAAACAGTGTAAGTCACATAAGGTAAAGGCAGAAACTTAATTTTATTCTCTCCTCTTCCCTACCACTCAAAAGTAATGAATATTTGGTAACGTTGAATGACTGATTTGAATGAGTGAAAGTATCCACAGTAACAACTATACTTTCTTATGAAAAATGGGAAAAGAAAGAAATGGCATGAGCAAAAAGAAGGAATTATGTCCAGAGCAAGTCTGATTTTTGCCTATAAAAACTGGCCTGTAAAAATGCCATTTTTATAATATTACAACCCAGTGGAGTATAATCTACCCAACAGCAAATCCAGAAAATCTTTATGTAAACACAATGACCTTGAGGTTGTTGCCTGCATCTGTCTAGCTAATTAACTATAACTAAATGTAGCTAACACTGATGTAAGGCAAGATATTAAAACCAACTAAAGGATTATTTTGTTATAATTTAAGAGGGTGAAATTGTTATCAAAATTATTGCAATTGTAAAAAGAAAAATAGAATATGGTGAATGATGAAACTACATTATTTCAAACAGTAACTAGTATAGGTAAATTACATAACAAGCACTATGTAAACAAACATTTGTCATTGCTGAATGAATCAATGGTTAGTTCCTATTATATTATAATAAAGATTATACAACAGGAAAAAGGCTACTGAAGGTGGTTTCTAAAAGAAGTAAGCATATTAAAATAGTATTTTAAGTTTTTATAAACCTTTCATTAAAAAGTAACCATCCCAAAATATACTAGGATAGAATCATAATGATTCATAGACCAACACGTTCTGGCCAAATAAAAATAACATATCTTGGTTAATTGATAATTCAAATGCCTCATTTGAGAAAGTTAACGTTGCAAGTAATGTTATTGTACATGGTAGGAACCATGGCAAGAACCACTATTAGGCACTACAATTGTTTTTAAATTTCACTGGTCAGAAGAAGCAATTAGGTACCTACTAAATGTCAGATTTTTTGGCCTCAACATTGAGTGATGGTGATTCAGCAAGTCCAGGTGAGTTCCCTGAATTTGCATTTTTAACATGCATTTCAGGTGATTTCTAAGCCAATCATCTGCAATCTGTATTTTGTAAAACAGTTCTTGGGATTCCTGCTATTGTGCCCAGACCCATAAGATTCAATCCATTAGTAATTAATGGTCCTCAAGTTTTGTAATTTGGGGTGGTATTTTTGTAGCTTCTGGGCATTCTTTCAGGGCCTGCCTTCCAACTGGATCAAATTTTTCTAAAGTCTGCTTTGTCTCTGAAATAATTACCTTTGCTCACTCAAGACATAATGTTCACAATTAAGACTGGTCTAAAAATTCCATTCTTGTGTCATCTTTATTAGGTTTTAAAAACCATGTTATACAAGCCATTTTTCCCTTCCATACCTTGAACCACATTAAGTAGCATTAGAATCAACTACAATAAAAACTGGGTAAATGCTGTAGCCTGAATGTGTATATCCTTGCAAAATTATTATGTTGAATTACTAATTCCCAATGTAATGGTATTAGGAGGTGGGGCATTTGGTTAAGTAATTAGGTTATGAGAGCAAAGCCCTTATGAATAGAATTAGTGCCCTTGGAGACTCCAAAGAGTGAGCTTCTCCTCCCTTAACTATCTGTAAAGACACAGAGAAAAGACTGTTGTCTAGGAGCCGGGAAGTGGGCCCTCACCAGACACCAAATCTGTCTTTGCCCTGATCGTGGGCTTCCCAGCCCCCAGAACTATGGGAAATAACTCTGTGCTGTTTATAAGCGACTCAGTCTATGGTATTCTGTTATAGCAGTCAAACAAATAAAACAGAAGGAAATATTCCCACAAGAAACCATGTAAATCTGGTGCTTTTTCTAAGGGGAGAGAGTTAGATCTTTGAGCAAGTCCTCTATTTCTTTGTATTGGAACTCTGATATTTTATCACTCCTAGAGTAAATTTTAATTTTTCGAAAATTATACATTTCTTCCATGTTTTCAAGGGTTTTTGTTGGTGTAGAGTTGAACAAACTACTTTTATATGCTTTAAATGTCTTTCATATTGATGGCTATTTCTCCCTCTTTCTTATTTTGTGTATGACTTTGATTCCTCACTCCCTATCAACCTTCAATTAGCTTATAGGTGAGCCATGGAGAAAATGGCAACAAATACTTTAAAGAAGATAATTTTTAAAATGAGAATAACAATTTAAAGTTAATTTGTTGAGAAGATGGGAAAAGTACACACTAGCATACATATTATATAAATACAAATAATATCTGTCATTTTCTCTTCCAGTTAATTGTATTAGTGTCATTGACAAATGAGACCAGTAGCGTTCTAGTGCATTAAAGTATAGGTAAAAATAATACACTCTATCTTAGTATATGTTGGGGCAAAAGTAACTGCAGTTTTACCATTACTTTTAAATGGCAAAACTGAAATTACTTTTGCATCAAGCTAATAATACTATATGTTGACTATCAAAAGCTTAATTTTTGACATTGATGTGTCAATGTTGATTACATTTTGAGTACCTATCAGTTTGTGTGTGTGTGTGTGTGTGTGTGTATCTCCATGAATTTAATTAGGTTAAATGTTTTCAAAGGGTAAAATGCTCACAGATTGACACATTTTTAAGTAGCTGATTAAGAACTGAGACCAGAAAATATTGCAGAATGAGACAGAAAGAAAGAAAATCAATTGTGTTCAATGGATGTGAGTGTCCGATGGTCATTTTTCCTTGTTGAATCCTCTCTAAATTTTTTATTTGATTGTTATTAGTCATAATTATGTTGGCTAAACTGCAAAGTGGGATATATAATTGTAATGTTAAGTGTCTTAATTATATTGGTTAATATTAGTCACATTTTACCTCCTTCTTTATTTTTGAGACAGGGTCTTGTCCTGTCACTCAGGCTGGAGTGCTGTCGTACCATCACGGCTCACTGCAGCCTCAACCCCCTGGGCTCAAGTGATCCTCCCTCCTCAGCCTCCCACTGAGGCAGGGAGGGACTATAGGCATGCGCAATGCCAATGCCTGGCTAATTTTTAACTTTTTTTTTGAAGAGACAAGTTATTCATTTCATTCTAATAGGTATGGTTCTGATAACTTCATGGGCATATAAATTTGTAGAAGGAAGATACTTAAGATTTGGTCTTCTCTGTGTATAAGAGTAAAATTTTCCTTTCTACAAAGCTCATTTGTAGCACCACAGAGGTTGTTTCCTGCCTGTAGATCAGTGATAGATGGAAGGCAGAATTCTAGTAACTTTTTCAGCACATCTTGACACCCGTAGTCTTTTCTTTCCCTCGGGGGTAGGGGTGGGGTGGTGGTGACTCTAGTTATGTCTGGAATTGTGATGAAAATGCTCTCTGTCACTGTCGTCACAAGGTGCCCTGCTAGTGCACAATACCTAATGGATAATGATCGGACATATTCACACCTTGAAAAGGAGGTGGTGAATTTTTTGAATTTTCTTATAGAGTTCAGCACAACAAAGAGTCCCCATGGAGATACACAGGTTCAAGATTTGTTCCCGCAATAGCAGGTGGTGACAGAGGGCTCTGTTTCAATATGTTTTGTACAGGAAATCAGAGCTTCGGTGTGCTGAAGCTGGTATGTTTTCATCAGGTGTACACTAGTGGTTTACAGACTTGTAGAATCTGTCATTCTGAAAGTATTCTGAGAGCCAGACAATGACTCTTATTCCAGATGACACTGGCATCCCCTGGCATTGATAATTAAATGCATGAAGTGAGAACTTCTCTAAAAACAATAAAACAAACAAATACAACTTTGAGGGCACACAAGAAGGTGGGGTTTTCAGGTTGAGAATGGAATGAAAGCTTTCAATCTAATTTATAGTCACTCTCATATTACTGCACAAATTATAGACAGTAAAATCCACTGCAAGTGCAGGTAAAATCAGCATTTGCAGTGGATTTAATCCCATTCAAATTCTTTAATAATTGTGGATTTAAAAACAAAAAACCCCTACCAGACAACTGAAGTTGGGTTTCAGCCTGGCATCTACGGGCTGTTGTTCTCCTGCAAGAAAGGAATTGTAAGTCGATTAGTACTCTAGTGAGAGTCTGTATTGAAAACCTTGTTACAAGGGACCCTGGTCCAGCGTGGTGGCTCACGCCTGTAATCCCAGCACTTTGGGAGGCCAAGACTAAAGGCTCACGAAGTCAGGAGTTCGAAACACAACAACAACAACAACAAACCCAAATGAACCCGATCCTGATTGTGTAGTTTTGACTTCTGACAGGAAGACTGTGAGGTGTACTATAATATATGGTGGACCTTGTCCAATATCATGTATGAAAAATGCAGGTAACCCCACTGGTGTGGAGGTTTGCGTTTTCCCACTTGGGCAGATCATCTGCCTGGAGTAAGACGAGGGCGGTTGGGACTAGTCCACCTGCCTCGTTTCTCCCAGTCATCTGGCTTAGGTCAGAGTTCCATGGCAATTAAATCCTTCCTCTGCTGACTCAGTGAGTCACTGCTTGGCTGAACAGACATAGCCACCTCTTGAGGTCACGCTGGCTCTAAAGGTCTGGTCCCCATGCACTGAGGAAAAGGACAGGGTCAGTAAGGGAGGCTCACTGTGGGTCATGCCGACCTGGGATCCTAGGAGATGGACACTGGACTCCTTAAAATAATAATTTCCTTTCTAATCCTTTCCTCATGCATTGTTTTCTTCTTCTCTAATTTGCCCCAGCTCCTTTCATGATTCTGGAAATAGGTGTTTTCCTGAACGCCTTGTTAGGGTAAGCCTAACTATCACAGGTCATGTCTCTGTGGTGATGGTATATCACTCTTTGAAACTGTTTTCAGGTACTTTGCCAGCAGGATTTCAGCCCCTAAATAGGATATTTCAGGGAGCCTTATGAAAAGGCTGCTTTCTACCATGTTGTGAGGCTGTGGGTTTATAGCACTCCTAAATATTTAGATAGACCATGAAAATGTAGTCAATTAAGAAGTGTGATGTGTTTTAATGACCAGGTGGATTCAATTATTCAGCTTCGATTTCCTTTCTCTAGGATGTAAGTAGGTTTTAAAAAATTTCACCTGGTAAATTAACTCCTTAATTTAAAGGACCCGTCCTCTGAAGACAGTGTCTGCAGTGAAGGGGAGTCCTCTGTCCCAGGCCCTGGTGTCTACCTCTAATTTATTCCTGATGAATGACAGCAAGTTCATTGCCTCAGGTAGTTTTCCCTTCTTTCATTTCTCAAAGCTGCCTTCTGTTTTCTTGGCGTTTGTTTTAAAGTTCGGTTTGGGCATGCACTGGAGGGCTTTAAGGGTTTCACCTTAAGGTTCTTGGACTGAAGTCTTTGATTTGAGTTCCTGCTGAAGATCACCTGGGACTTAGCCGTCCTGCTGTGAGCAGGGTCACTTAGTGGAGGCTGGGCCCATCCTGGCCCCTGGCAGTACAGCTTAGCCAAGTGTGTGTGCTCAGAGACACACCGAGAAGCTCCATGGTGCCTTGTAACTCCAGGGTTCACTTTTTGGCTTTAGAAAAGTGTTCTGAAGCTCATTCCTGTAATCCCAGCACTTTGGGAAGCTGAGACGGGTGGATCACCTGAGGTCAGGAGTTGGAGACCAGCCTGGCCACATGGTGAAACACCGTCTACACTAAAAATACAAAACAATTATCCGGGCATGGTTGTATGTGCCTGTAATATCAGCTACTTGGGAGGCTGAGGCAAGAGAACTGCAAGTGGTTGCAGCGAGCCGATACTGCGCCACTGCACTCCAGCTGGGAGTGAGACTCTGCCTCAAAAAAAAAAAAAAAAAAAGAGAAAGGAAAAAAGAAAAGTGCTCTGAGATGATCCCACACTATTTTACCCATTTTAAAAATAATGGCCGGGCATGGTAGCTAATGCCTGCAATCCTACCACTTTGGGAGGCCAATCACCTGAAGTCGGGAGTTTGAGACCAGCCTGACCAACATGGAAAAACCCTGTCTCTACTAAAAATACAAAATTGGCTGGGCATGGTAGCACATGCCTGTAATCCCAGCTACTCGGGATGCTGAGGCAGGAGAATCGCTTGAACCCGGGAGGCAGAGGTTGCAGTGACCCGAGATTGCACCATTGCTCTCCAGCCTGGGCAACAAGAGCAAACCTCCATCTCAAAAAGAAAAAAAGACCAGAGAGAAACCACAGACATTAGTCTGTAACTGATGTAGAACGAGTCTGTAAACAAATGGAGAATGAGCTCATGTGTACTCATCTTCCTCCTTACTAGTTTTCAGGTCTTAGTCTATGGGGATTTGGAATGGGGCCTTTGGGTTGTCCATGCTAGATAGTTAAGGCTATTCTGAGCAAGAGTGCCAAGATTTCAAACAATTCTTTTGTTTTTGACCTAATGATAAATGTGAGAGAAAAAGTAAGTTTGTTTGCTTTTTCAATTCTAAAAGCATCACCTATGGATCTATAGGCTTCTGTCTTTTGGGATATAAAAAATGGGCGTAGAAGCTGAGGAGACTGATAATGGTTTGGCTTTGTGTTCCCACTCAAATCTCATCTCGAATTGTAATTCCCAGTTGTTGAGGGAGGGACCTGGTGAGAGGTGGCTGGATCTCGGGGATAGTTTCCCCATGCTGTTCCTGTGACAGTGAGTGGCTTCTGATGGTTTTATAAGGGGCTCTTCCCCCTTTGCGCTCTTTCTCTCCTGCTGCCTTGTGAAGAAGTTACTTGCTTCTCCTTCCCCTTTTGTCATAGTTTTGTTTTCTGAGGCCTTCCCAGCCATGCAGAACTGAGTCAATTAAACTTTTCTTGATAAATTACCCACTCTCAGGTATGTCTTTATAATAGTGTGAAAATAGACTAATACAGGGACACAAATCTGAGCTGCCAGAGCTATGAAACAGAGGACTAGAGGGACTGACCTTGCAGATATGGTCACCCTGTTGACCAGTGCATGTGCCAAACACTTGTCCTTGTCTGTCTGGGTACCAAAGAACCAGGGAAACAAAAACTTGCATTCAGCAACATGGTGTCTGCAAAACTGTCGAGAAGACGGTTGGACCCTTTCTTCCATTTGATAGGACCCTCAGGTGGTCAGAAACCCTTGCTCCTCGGTTAGAGAACGGATGTTTTTAGGCAAGGAAACCTGAATTTGCCCCTGTTGCGGCTGTTTTTGGTGTGGTATAGAGCAGACTTCCTACGGTGAGCTTTCCTAGGAATGAGGCTTAGAATACGGTTAGAAATGAAAGGGACGGGAGGAAGGAGGAGAGGAGCTCCTTAACCTAGGAATTCAGATGTGCCTCTGCCGGATGCCTCATGTCCTGCAGTGGGAAAATAGTAGCAAAACATTGAAAGGATTTGGTGAACGCTGGACCACTCTCAAAACAAAAACATCTCAGGCAAATGGAGACCAAGAAATACGGAAAAATGCCTCATAATTTCCCGTTTTCTGTGAGAGCACCGTCCTAGCAGCTGGCTCCTGCCGCTGAAAGACAGGTCCATTTAGGGTGAATTCTCATTTCAGGTAAGATTAGACCAGAAAAGCGTTTTTTAGGTAATTAAAATGTATACTTAATCTGAATTATTCTCTTTCTTTTCCACATTGACTGAATTAGTTTCAGTCTAGAGAACAAGCAAAGTTTGATCACAGTTTCTGTTTTTGTTATCTGGCCTACCATGTTAATTGATCATGTCAGTATTTTAAGGAATATTAACCATTTCCACGGCTTAGTTGAGGAATCACAGACTTAGAATGTAGGTAAGCCAGAAGACGATGCCTCCGAAGAGTCACTGTGTCCCTTGGGATGAACACTGCCCTTTATATCTTTGCGTTTCTTTGAGATTTTGACATTTATTGCCCACATGATTATAATCTCTTTTGGGGGGCACTGAAAAATTGGGAGACCTGGCTGCTTCCACACTTACGCAGCAAGATTATTTCTTAGTGTGCGTTTCTTGAAATGTGCATCACAGGCAGTTATGTGCACATGTTTCAACTGGGAGTTTTGTAGCTGTGGTTCCTGTCAGTGGGATGGCATTCCTTGTTGGGTCGGTCCAGTAGCCTATTGATTAGTTCTTCCATCTACCCTCCAAGGACACTGGTTTTCTTTTGCAGGATGTATCTTGAGTCCGTGTTAAACTTCCAGTGTGAAATGTACTGTAGGCTTCTCTTTTGCATTGCTGAAGGGAAATTTTCAACTTACCCAGCGTTCTTGTATATAACAAATTGTATTTTGTGTTCCCAAATGCCTTGTACCACCAGCATTGTTTATTTTGGTCTGGAAGTCCTGGGAACCCCATGATCTTCCTGCTTCTCCTAGAAGCTGTGCTGTATATTTCTAGAATGCCCAATGTATTGAATGATGATTGACATTTTCCATAGAGTATATAATTTAAGAGGTTGCTGTGATCTTCTTTTTCCTGATATGTTATTATACTCAGGAAAAATAAAAAACACCTGTATAAGTGTTTGTACCTCACCTCTTATCACTGTCACATCACTAAACTGTGCCTTACTCTGCTAAGTTAAAAATAATTATGATTCAAATAAGAAGACATTTGGCCAAGTCTGACTTGCAAGCAGACACTGGAAATCATATGCCACTTTTAAGCGAAAATGCCCTACTTTTTATAATGTTTTCATTTTAAAATGTGGAAAAGGGTGACATTTGGCTGTGAGAGATAACATGTTTGACACATTTTGCATTTCTGCCTTTGTGATTTTTAGTTTTGGTTATGAACTTGATTTAAAGTGTCTTAGAGTATGAATACAGGATTTATAAAGTGAATGTTATTTCTTTCACTGTATACATTTAAGACTTTGCTGCTTGGTATACTAACTCATAAAATAATTTCCACAATCTAAGTTACCAAATTTACCTTTTTGTCCTATTCTTTGAAATATACTGTATTAAATATGATGAGGGTGCACTAAACTTTTACTGTACTGCAGAATAGATGGCCACACCCATATCCCTTTCTACATGCTCTTCCCTTCAAAAACCAGTCACAAAATACTTCAAATGGTATGAGCTCTGCAAACATGAAGATTACATAACATGAAGATGTGCTACT